CCTTATTATTCTTATTATTATCAATATTATTACGCATATTACGACTAGTATCGTCGCTGGAACTGTAATTATCCTTACTACACCTATTATTATCAATCTATTACCCATATTATTACTTTTATGATCATAATCCTGATTATTCTTATTATTATCAATATTATTACGCATATTATAACTTTTATGATCATAATCTTTATTAGTCTTATTATTATCAATATTATTACCCATATTATTATTATCAATATTCTTACGCATATTACCACTTTTATTATCATTTTCCTTATTATTCTTATTTATTATCAATATTATTACCTATATTACTATTTTTATCATTACAACTACTATTATTATTATATCCTTGACCTACATAACCTACCCTCCCCTTCGCCATTCCGACATAAACGGTTAGGTTATATCAGGTTAGGTCGCTGCCAAGGGTTAGGTTGGAAAAGGTTAGGTCGGACCCCAGGGTTAGGTTGGAAAAGGTTAGGTCGGACCCTAGGGTTAGGTTATATTAGGTTAGGTCTGGGTACCTAACCTACCAATGGTACCCAGACCTAACCTAATATAACCTAACCCTAGGCCCCGACCTAACCTAATATAACCTAACCCTAGGCCCCGACCTAACCTAATATAACCTAACCCTAGGCCCCGACCTAACCTAATATAACCTAACCCTAGGCCCCGACCTAACCTAATATAACCTAACCCTAGGCCCCGACCTAACCTAATATAACCTAACCCTAGGCCCCGACCTAACCTAATATAACCTAACCCTAGGCCCCGACCTAACCTAATATAACCTAACCCTAGGCCCCGACCTAACCTAATATAACCTAACCCTAGGCCCCGACCTAACCTAATATAACCTAACCCTAGGCCCCGACCTAACCTAATATAACCTAACCCTAGGCCCCGACCTAACCTAATATAACCTAACCCTAGGCCCCGACCTAACCTAATATAACCTAACCCTAGGCCCCGACCTAACCTAATATAACCTAACCCTAGGCCCCGACCTAACCTAATATAACCTAACCCTAGGCCCCGACCTAACCTAATATAACCTAACCCTAGGCCCCGACCTAACCTAATATAACCTAACCCTAGGCCCCGACCTAACCTAATATAACCTAACCCTAGGCCCCGACCTAACCTAATATAACCTAACCCTAGGCCCCGACCTAACCTAATATAACCTAACCCTAGGCCCAGACCTAACGTAATATAACCTAACCTTGGGGCCTGACATAATCCGACCAAACCTTAGGTCCTAACTGATAGTAATTACAGTTGCAATTATAGTACCAACGATAATAATAATAGTAATATGAGGAATGATATATGTTATATTGATAATAATAAGAGTAATAAGGATAATTACAGTTCCAGCGATGATAATAGTCGTAATATGCGTAATAATACTGATAATAATAAGAATAATAAGGATTATGATGATTAAAGTAGTAATATGCGTAATAATATTGATAATAATAGGAATAATAAGGATAATTACAGTTCCAGCGATGATAATAGTCGTAATATGCGTAATAATATTGATAATAATAAGAATAATAAGGATAATAATAAA